AATCGAACCAGGGTCCTTTGGAAGAGCAACTGTAAAGAGTCTTTTCCTGTCCCTCCAGATAGCACCCAAATAATGACACAGAGACTTCTTATTGAAGGGCCCAGACCCTCACGCAACACCCTGCTTTGGCAGCCATGCCAGCCTGCAGAAAAGATCCAGCAAGATGTAGATCCCTGACTCAGCAGTATGTGCTGAGCCCCCTGACCCTGTCCAACCTTACCCTAATTCCTGGGAAGAAACAGCCAGATACCATCCATGGGTAAGGAACTAATCAGCAGTTAGCTGGTGGGTTTTGGATGTGCTTTACTGATAATAGTGGAATGTAATAGGTAGCAACAGCCCTTGGATGGCCTCCAGGCATAGCAACATTCCTGCAGCTGACCAATCAATTCAGGACAGGTTGTCCCAGCCAGGAGGTACACCAATCATGAGACTTGCTATGCAACTAGCAGATTCCCAGAAACCACCCTTGCTCTATTCCCAATATTACCCTGCCCCACTGTTGTTCGGGGTCCCTCCTACTCCACCCACTGTGACGGATGGATGGAGGACCCGAGGTAACTCTTAATTAAGACTATTTGATTTTGCATAGGATCTGGTCTCATGATGGTTTTGGGGGTTGAGTCTGGGCACAACACTTATTATGAAAGCCCAGCCTGTATCTAAGGCTTGTTCCTTACTATCTCTTATAACTTAAACTAACCCATTTATAGTAATCTACATTATTTCATGTAGCATTACTTCTCTTCTATCTTGCATCTCCTGTTTCTTCTCCATATTCCTGGTGCCTCCTGCAGGCCTCCATTCCTCCTCTTCTTCCTTTCTCTCCCCAGAAATCCCACCTATACCTCCTGCCTAGCTGTTAGGTAGTCAGCTTTTTATTACACCAATCACAAGAACTACATCTTCACACAGTGTCCAAATATCCCACAACAAGCAACGAGTGTTCTTAACTGCCGAACCATCTCCCCAACAGAGCATGCCTTTTTTGTTATAGTGTGGATATTTTGCTGGCATGTATGTCATTGCCCACAGATGCCAGAAGAGGATCACTTCTTTAAAAAGCATGGGCTCAAACTCCATCCACTCTTTGTGCCTCCAAAGCAAGCACTTTACTGACTGAGCTACCTCCCTGGCCCCAACCCAGACTTTCAATGGCAAAAGGGTGGTTGCAAGCTTAGAAACTTGTGGTAAGTAATCCAGTGCCTTCTGAACCTGGACTTGTGCTGTGGTCATAATGTAACTTCCTCAGTTATCTGAGATCTTTCAAGTATTTAAAAAGCCCCACAGTAGCCAGGTACTCAGGAGGTAGAAGCTGGAGGATCTCTGTAAATTTGAGGCTAGCCTGTTCTACAGAGTTCCAGGACAGCCAGGGCTATACAGAGAAACCCTGTCTCAAAACTCAAAAACAAAAACCAAAAAAGAAGGAGGAGAAGCAGCAGCAGCAGTAGCAACAACAGAAAAAGAGAGGACTGAAGACATGACCCAGAGGTTAAGAGCACTGGCTGCTCTTCCAGAGGTCCTGAGTTCAATTCCCAACAACCACATGTTGGCTCACAGCCATCTATAGTGACATCTGATGCCCTCTTTTGGTGTACAGGCATACATGTAGATAGAGCACTTGTAAACACATGAGGTAAATAAATCTTTAAAATAAGAAAAAGAAAAGCATCACAGTTGCCACAAGTGTAATCTGACTGGCTGCCTAAAAAGGGCTGTGTGGCTAAAAGTTCTCCACTCCAGGAAGCTAGCACTATAATCTAGCACTTGCCAATTAAGAATTCAACCCAGGAACCAGTTTCTTACCTTATTTATAGGAAAAAATAAATATTAATTAGGATGATTAGTAGCTGGGTACATGCCTTGAGTGGATCTCTGTGAGTTCAAGGTCAGCTTTGTGTACATAGGTGGTTCTGGACCAGCCAAAGCTACATAGTGACATCCTGTTTCAGAAAAAAAAATTGTGTGTGGGGGGATGATTACAGTAAAGCTTTATCATTATAAACAATATGGTAACAATGCCAAGCTTGTGCCCAAGACATTTTAGATAGGTTCTGGGACTAGATCTCTGTTCTAGAGATAACCAGCCCTGAAGCTCCCAGCACATCTTGCCAGTCAGGACCAAAGACAACCTTTTCTCTGAAGATGAGCAGTCCAGAAGCTGCAGCAGGCTCAGCATCACCCAGCTAAAAGTGTTCTAAATTCCCCAGGAATTTAGGTAAGGGCTTTCCACTTTGGAGGGATCTTTGCAAAGACATGAATGCCAATCCTTTCAAATGTAATCAGCAAAGATGGGTTCCAAGTCTGCCCATGCTCCAATAAATGAACCTACACCAATACTTATGCAAGCAACCCTAATTATATTCAATGGGTCACTAAAAAGACACAAAATTGGGAGAGGCTTGTTTGGAAGAAGGGGCACAGAGAGTAGAGGGGGAAAAGAATTAAATAAAAATACATTGTATACATGTATTACATCATCAAGCAGTAAATAAAAGATGTTGACATATTCCACTCTAGAAAGAGTCTTCTTAAGACTTGGGAAGCAAACAAATCACAGGTCTCAAGATGTCCCTAAAACCAAATTCATAAGTTTGTATAAGCAGTAAGGGTAGCTGAGGAAGGGAGACCTGCCCAACTAACTAAAAATCATACAAAAGCTCCAGGGTTTCAGCTTTCCTGAGTCATCACTCATGCTGAGGTGAGCTTTGTAGTAATGTACTCCTGTAAGTAACTCCAATAAACTCATTGGTTCTCAAAGTTGAAAAGGATTGTCACAGAATAGTTATGAATTTGACTCCTACCCACACTTGTCATTCCTATCAGCTTTCTGTTTCCATCCTTCCAGCCATTTTGGAACTCCTTGAACTCTGCTGCAGCCGCTTGAACCCGTAATAGACATTCTATAGCCTACATGCAGGCAGATTCACTGTGTGATGTATAATCTATAACCTCAAAGTTAATAGTCATAGTTAAGGTTAGAATAAAGTAACTTGTGTTTACTTTAACTCGATATCAAGGGAATTAGGACTACTTGGCATACTGCTCCCAGTGAAATTACTATTCTTTTTTAATTTATTATTGTTTGATAAATTCTGATATTGTGGGAAAACACAAGTGGGCCAGTTCTCTCTTTCCACAATTTATTTGGGTTTGGGGGTTGAACTCAGGTCATCAGTCTTGTTGGCAAATGCCCCTGCCTGTTGAGCTGTATCCTCAACCTATCTCTGTATTTTTAAATCAACACTACCAACCCAGTTGATATACATATAATTAGCTTAATTCATTCATCTGTTGTCCTATTGACATCCTCATAACCAATATACATATTTATAGATATTTACATTTTTATATGTACATATATGCAAGCACATAATATATTATGCATCTCAGATATGCATAACTTATAGATTGTGCACGCGCGTGCACGCATGTGTGAATGTGTATGTATGTATGTGTGTGTGTGGTTTTTCGAGACAGGGTTTCTCTGTGTAACAGCCTCAGTACACCGTCTTTTGTTTGTTTGTTTGTTTTTTATTGTTCCATAAGAATCAACATCATCTTAAAAGTTTTTTCCTTCCTTCCTTTCTTCCTTCCTTTCTTCCTTCCTTCCTTCCTTCCTTCCTTCCTTCCTTCCTTCCTTCCTTCCTTCCTTCCTTCCGACAGTGTTTCTCTGTGTAGCTTTGGAGGTTGTCCTGGAACTAGCTCTGTAGACCAGGCTGGCCTCGAACTCACAAAGATACATCCACCTCTGTGCCACCATCGCCCGGCGGTAGGAGAGGTTTTATTCACTGCTTTAAAATACTCTATTCATGTAAAAAGAATGCGAGTCTTCTGTAAATTCTTAGCCAAAAACACATAACTGACTTAGAGGCTTGGTGGTGCATCAGGATGCTGGCTCAGGCAGGAGGAGGTGTGTGGCCACTCAAAGACATGCAGAAGGGCCCATGGGAAGTGGTCTCGTTGCAGGATAAGAAATTAGAGATTCCTGCTCAGCCCACTACTGCGCTGCGGGACCTGTGTCGGTATAACCACCAGAGTGTGTTTGAGTGGGTGGCTCATCTTCAGCGATACAGTGCCTATGGCCAAAGCAAGCCGGAGCACCCCTGCCACGCCCACAAACCTTGGTTTCCTAGACTGCTGCCAGGCCCGGAGGACATTTCCCAGAAACTCCCGCGCTGCACTGGTTCATGACGAAGACTCCATTTCCCAGAGTTCCCCGGGAAGGTCTTGCCCCCTCCACCTGCACCGCGAGTAGCTGGAGAGTTGTGCACCGGAAGCAGCTCTCGGACTGGTGAAACCAAGGCAGGTGAGGCTCCAGGGTGGAGGCAGCGCAGCAAACTAGGAACCCCATAGGATGGTTAGTCGAGGCTGTAAGAGTGCGAATGGCATCGGAGGGCTCCGTGGACTTGGGCTGGGTGACCTGCAAGATCGGGAACCACGGGGTGTGGGGGCCGGGCCCTTGCTCTTCTGGGTAACTGTGGAGCCACAGGGCTGGGCCTGAGCCATCCACAGAGGCCGTAGCATATTTTCAGCGTCTCGAGGCCTTCCAGGGGATGCACCCTGCCCTAGAAAAACTAGGCTTTCCTAGGCTATTGGCTGTCAGCTCAGCACTAGTGGGTATCAGGCTGCAAGCACGAGCACCGCCCCCCACCCCCGTCGGTCTGTAAAGAGTGAGCCTTGGGGAGAAGCAGCCATTACCATATGTGCTCAGAACTTCCAGCCCTAATTTTCAGTCATAGGGATGAGATATATCTTTCCTCTACCTGGTAGGGTCACGGGTTGGAACTAAGTTGCTTTGGTTTGGATAGCAGCCAGCAGGAACCTCTGACGCCCGGGGCAAAGGGAAACAGCTGGGTGTGTCTGGCCGCCCTGCCGGTAGTTACTCCTGCTTGGGAGTTTGATTTTGTGCCTGTTGCCCATTGGCTCAAGAGAATGGGGTGGGGAGAACAACACATCCTATATTCTTAGCTCACAACATTTGGCCTTGCAGGTAAAGCCACAATGGGTGAGCCCCAGGGGTCCATGAGGATCTTAGTGACAGGGGGCTCTGGACTGGTGGGCAGAGCCATCCAGAAGGTGGTCGCAGATGGCGCTGGCTTGCCTGGAGAGGAATGGGTGTTCGTCTCCTCCAAAGATGCAGATCTGACGTGAGTTGGAAACATATTCAGACCCAACCCCTACTCCTAGTTCCCTCACCAGGCTGAAGAGTGTCCTGCTGGGTCTGTTCCTGAGTCTAGCAGTGGCCCTCTGTGAGTCTGGGTCCTCCCTGCCAGATGACTGATCTGGCTGTGTTTTCTGCCTGTACTAAGCAAACATCCTTCTATAGTTACGGGTGCCCACGCCCAACACCTGCTAAAGCCCTGAACTTGGCTACCTGTCCTTTTGGCTGCCTTCTAGCCTTAGACCCATCCAGTTTTGGACCCACTGCCCCAGCTCCTAACTTCTTATTTCCTCAGGCCTCACTAGGCCCTCTGATATCCTGGCTTCCCTCAGGGATGCAGCACAAACCCAAGCCCTGTTCCAGAAGGTACAGCCGACCCATGTCATCCATCTTGCTGCAATGGTAGGAGGCCTTTTCCGGAATATCAAATATAATTTGGATTTCTGGGTAAGTTGGGGTGCTGGGGACAACAAGCATTGGGAGCCAAGAGCTCAGACTCTTGGAACTTGCACAGATTTACCCCCCCCCCCCAAGAAGTCCCTGAGGACTGGTTTTGCACGACCCTGGAGTCATTTGGCTAACTGCTAACATGCAGGATTAGGAAGCTAAAAAAAGCCAGAATACCATATTATGTAACTGGAGGCAGGTCCCTACTTACTGAGCCTGCTTGGCTGCCAGATTCTTGAACTCCCAGGCTTGGTTCATTCAGTTCCCTGAATCTACCAACCATCCCAAGTGTTGGAATGTCTCTAGCATGTACCATAGGAGGAAGGGCAAAACTTAAGAGCTCTTCTTCTGTTGACCATGCTCCTCAGAGTTGACCTGTGCACCTCTGTGCAGTAGCTTTGTCCTGGCTGGCCTAACCTAGACCCAGCAGCATGCAAAGGTTCCTACAAGATTTTGCCCACAGACTCTGATACCCAAAGCTTTCCTTGACTATCCCAGTGTTTTCAGCAAACTGCTTGGTCACTACCTCTTCCCTGTTCTTAGACCAGTATATCAATTTAGGGAGGAACACTGGAGAGGGGCAGGACGAGGGACAGAAAGAAGAGCTGGGTATGATTACTGTGGAGTTAGGAAGTTGGAGGAGGGCTTCTTCTTTGTAGTGGGAACCCCAGCTACAGTTTTCCTTGTCTCTACCACCTGCCCTGCACTGTGTAGCCCTGGGAATGCCACTCTGGCCTCCACACCCAGGCAGGCAGAGCAAGACTTTTCTGTGTCCCTACAAGCTGAGAGCTTCTATAAGGTCAGTGCTAGAAGGCTTAGGTTTCTCCAGAAGCACCTCATAAATAGACACACATAGTGCTCATATCTGAGCCAGGGTATGTTCCCATGTCTCTCCCTAGAGAAACAGCAAAGAACTTGGGTCATTCATAGATAGCCTAACTGTAGTTGGTTATTTTGCTCTTTGGGGGCCATCACCAAGCTCCCAAATAAATGCATGGAATCTTGTTCTTACTTATGAATGCCTTAGCTTAGTTTGTTTCTAGCCAGCTTTTCTAACTTAAATTATTCCCTTCATCTTTAACTGTGTTTTGCCTCTGGACTTTTCTTTATATGTCTTTCTTTCTTAATCCAAGGCTGGCTGGGTGGCTGGCCTGTGGTATCCTCCTCTTCTCCTTTTCTTGCTTCTTCGCTCTTTTTCTCTTCTTTATTCTCTCTGCCTGACAGCCCCGCCTATCCCTCTCCTGCCTAAGTATTGGCTGTTCAGCTCTTTATTAGACCAATCAGGTGTTTTAGGCAGGCAATGAAACACAGCTTTACAGTTAAATAAATGCAGCATAAAAGAATGCAGCACATCTTTGCATCATTAAACAAATATCCTATAGCATAGACGAATCCACAACATCTAACCCACCTATGCTACTCACTGCAGAGGAAGAACGTGCACATCAATGACAATGTCCTACACTCAGCCTTCGAGGTGGGCACTCACAAGGTGGTCTCCTGTCTGTCCACCTGCATCTTCCCTGACAAGACAACCTATCCTATTGATGAGACAATGGTGAGGGGCAGAGCCTCCTGGGGTAGGACCTGAGGGTATGGGCAGAGTCAATTGAGGATTCTCAGTGCATCTCTTTCTCCTCCAGATCCACAACGGTCCACCCCACAGCAGCAATTTTGGGTACTCGTATGCCAAGAGGATGATTGACGTGCAGAACAGGTGCTCCTTCTTGGTCTTGCCCAGGCCTCCTTGGAGAGGGGAGATGGATCCTTGGGTTAATGAGGCATTGTTGCTGCCTCATTTATACAGTTTCAGAGGGAATTGGGGACTCTAGGGGTACATTCTGGGAATGAGGTCAGGAAACACTGTCTCTGCAGGGCCTACTTCCAGCAGCATGGCTGTACCTTCACTGCTGTCATCCCTACCAATGTCTTTGGACCTCATGACAACTTCAACATCGAAGATGGCCATGTGCTGCCTGGCCTCATCCATAAGGTGCACCTGGCCAAGAGTGAGTGAAGCTATCCAGCACACGCCTGGCCGAGGTTACCTGCCTGAAGGGGCCCTGGGCTCAGCTGTGGGGTGGCTAGGGAGCTGGCTCTGGCTGCAGAGCTTTGACACCTGCTCCATCTGTAGGTAATGGTTCAGCCTTGACTGTGTGGGGTACAGGGAAACCACGGAGGCAGTTCATCTACTCACTGGTATGTATAGGGACATGGCTGTCCCAGAAAAAACTGTGTGGGAGGTAATAGAATAAGAAACGGTCCTTGAACCTTGCCAATCCCCCAGGGAATCAACTTTGGTTCAGTAGGAGAAAGTGTGGCCTGGATGAGGGACCTCCATCCAGGGTGAATCCTGGCTGTTCCCTCAAAGGAGCAGAAACAGCAGTACCACCTTTCCATTAGGAACATTTGCGATTTGACCTACCTTTTGACTTCTAGGACCTAGCCCGACTCTTCATCTGGGTCTTGCGGGAGTACAATGAAGTGGAGCCCATCATCCTCTCAGGTGGGCACTTTGTAGGTGTCATTTCCTATAGCAGGGCTGACCTGTGTCTACCCTAAGGAGTGGGAGCAGACATCCCCCTAGGGATCTGGACAGAGAGGTCTGACTGACTACTGGCCTGTGGTTCCCCACAGTGGGCGAGGAAGATGAAGTGTCCATCAAAGAGGCAGCCGAGGCTATAGTGGAGGCCATGGACTTCTGTGGGGAAGTCACTGTATCCTTTGACTTCAGGGATGGGCTGAGGTAGGTACTGTGGCTTTCCCTTGTAGGATGGCCAACATAACACCATTTTGTTTCTGGTGGTCCTTGCCCAGGCAGCAGGAGGGGATGTGTTGTATCCCAGACCTGTCCCAGGAAAGGACAGGTTCCAGGTAGGGAAAATGGGTAATGCTCCTTCTGCTATAGCCTTGACCAAGGTGTCCAGTTTGATTCAACAAAGTCAGATGGGCAGTATAAGAAGACAGCCAGCAATAGCAAGCTTCGGGCCTACTTGCCTGAGTTCCGTTTCACACCCTTCAAGCAAGGTAAGCTCCTACCTATCCCTTTCAAAACCCTTAACCACCTGATCTATGCTTCAGGCTCCTTGCTGGATAGCCCTTGGCTTCAGTGTCCTTATTCCCTGTTGTCATCTCAGCCTCCAAATGTGACCACGGAGGTCTGGTGTCATGTAGGCTTGGTCACCAGACCCTTATCAGAGCCTGTATCCACTGGGAAGCAGAACATTGTAGCTTGGTGCTGTATTTCATTCTGGGAGTTGGTGTTCATTCATACAGGTTGGGGAAAGAAGTAGAGAGGCACCTCTCTGGTGAATTTAGCCTTCCTTTGCCATTGCATCGTGGGTTCACCTCTACAGACTGAACCACTTTTCCTTAGCTCAGGGCTTCACTATTGTTCTCTGGTTTACACCTTAGCAAATTGATTTCCATATTCCCCAGAACATCTTAATTAAACTTCCAAAGGGATAATGCCAAATGCAGATTCTCATCAGAAAATACTGTGGTTTTCTGGGTTGTCTCCCAACCAAGTTTTCCTTAGGATTTGTTTGTATCTTTGGGAAACTCTCATACAGGATTCACATATATTAAACAGAAGATGCTGAAAAAGCAGATTAGGAGCTGGCTGGTGTAGGAGTTCCCCCTTACAGTTTAGGGTGTATGTGGGGATCCTCAACCCTCTCTACCTCCTGGGGATGGGAGGCAATGGCATCACCGACTCTCATTTGTCTGCCTCTGCAGCTGTGAAGGAGACTTGTACCTGGTTCACCGACAACTATGAGCAGGCCCGGAAGTGAAACATGAGACAAGCAGGTGCTCAGCTTGGCAATGCCCAGTCAGCAATTACCACCCTCAGACCTTGCCAAGAACTGAGGATAATATCCAGCAACCTGAGCCACATGCTGGTCTCTCTGCCAGGGGGCTCCATGCAGCCATCCAGGATGTTTGTCCATCCTCAGGGGAATGCCAGACCAATACCTTGCTTGTCTGCTTCTGCCCCAACCTCAGTATATCCATGCTGGTCTTGCTGTCCCTTAACTAGAAACCAATAAAATGGATTTTCATAATTCTGGACTCAGATTCTGGGTCCAGCTTTCCCCTCTCTATAACACAGCCTTCTTAACTTGTCCAGTCCTGGGACACACTGTCCTGCTGTGTGCTACTTAGCTCCTAAGAGCTGGTAGGCCCAAGACAAGAGTTCCCATATGAAGAACCAGAGAGTGGAGATGTGGATATCAGGAAGCAGGCAGAACAGGTCAGTTGTGAACTATCAGTGGGCTCAGGTATACGGCAGGGTATCTCCCCAACAGCCTGACCTGGATCTTGGTCATGCTTAGCCCTTCCATTTGTGGTCACACACAGGCATCTCTGCCTCAGACTTGAGGACCTTGGTGGATCTTGATTTGGACTGATTCACTTTGGGATTGTTTGTCAAGTCTTTGCCACTGCAGCTCTGGATCATTTTCAGGTTCCCATCCTAGATTCCATTCACCTAAGAGTGTTAGGATTTTTCCTTTTCCATGATGACATGGGGTTGGAAACTACAAGCTCCTCAACTCCTCAATGTTGGAATAGAGCTACCATTATCCCTGAAGACTGGGGAGAGCAGAGATAAGCATTTACTCCTAAGACTCAAGAGACATAGCTGCAGGCAGGCAGAGGTGACAGTTGGCACCTCTGTAATACATTGTGTCCCAGGTGTTGACTTATGAGCACCAGCCACATAGCTAAAACTGACACCAGGCTGCTGGACCAGTCCTCTAAAGGAACATAACTGTTATACATACATGTATGGTGATTTATAGTCTGGCTTACATGATGTGCTTTGGATAGCCCAATAATGACTAACATTGGAGAAGCCAAGAATCCAGTTGTTCAGTCAATGAGTTGACTGCATGCCTCAGGAATGCCAGCCTGTCCTAGAGGACTTCTGGATAGTTGATGTGTACATTGGGATCCTAGATGGACTTCATAGGCACAAGAGTTTCCTTCCATGTCCTGTTATCTGAGCTGCCACCAGAAGGTGCTGCTTTGATTGGGGTGGGTGTCTTCCTGCTTCAGATAGTCTTAAGAAAGTTCTTTGAAGGCTTGCCCAGGCACTTGTGTTTTAGTTAATTCCAGATGCAGAGTTGACAACTCTGACCTCCATGTCCCTTCCCCCCAGAAACCACATCTATTCCACCCCACTCACCTTTTCCCAGGTAATAAGCCTATTGGATGCAGTCTCATCACTTGCTCAGATTTTCTCATCCCAGCCCAACCGTCCTATACATTCTGCTGCTCACCTCCCAGAAATACTAAAGATATCCAATTATTTCCCCCCATCTCACTAACCCTTGGTTCTCAGCCTGCATCTGAGGCCTTTTGTCTTCCAGCAGGACAGTGCATGGCCTGCCTGATCGTTCACCTTCTAAAAGCAGCATCTGTTGGCCTCTCCAATGTTGTCCTGCCCAGTGTCCTTCCCACCACCACCCAGCCCCCATCTTCAGATTCCCTTTAAGCCTAGTCTTCTGATGAGAGTCCATAGAGGGAACTCTCCAGCCTCCAGCCCCCAGAAAGAGCTGAGCCGAGCTGATCAGAACCTGCCAGACACTCAGTTACTGTCTAGGGCCCACCAGTCTGTGCTAACTTCATCATCATGTCAAGGAGCACACAGTCAGTTCTACGAATCAGAATGCCTTAACAACTGACCAGGCAGCATGTATTTTCTGGCTGGCTTGAGGCCAAGTCTCAATCTTGAACATTTTCAGGTGCTGTTGGTTGCAGCCAAGAATGCAAAATTTCCTTACACTTGTGTTCGTGTAAATGTTCCTTGTCCCCCACCTCTCCATGGACATTCCTGGGTAGTTTTTTGTTCCTGTATATAGCAAGGGTTCTGCAAGTTCCCTGTGACATCTTTCTGCTGCTACCTAAGACAATTAACTTGTAACAAGGGAAAGTTTTATTTAGTTTTAGTTTTTAGCTCCTGGTTTTACAGGTTTCCATCCATTATCAAGCAGACTCATCACTCTTAGGCTTCTGGTAGGGCCTGGGGAAAGATTGGGGAATACAACTCATAACCTCATGCTATACAAGAAGAAAGGACATCACATTCCACCTGTGGCAAGCAGAGGACAGGCTAGCCTTAACGGTAAGACCTCACAGTCCATGGAGAGCACTGCCCTTATAAACTCAGTGTACTGTGTTCTGTTTTGCCTGACTTCACACATTAAAACAAGAACAACAAAAACAGCCAGGCAGTGGTGGCACATGCCTTTCATATGAGCACTCAGGGATGAAGAGGCCAGCCTAGTGGTCTACAGAGTGAGTTCCAGGTCAACCAGGGATACACAGAAACCCTGTCTTGGAGAAACTACCAAAACAGCCAGCAACAAGCACCTTTACCGAGTTTGTAGGAAGTCTGTGTATACTTTTGACTCAAAGTTACTTTAGGAAATTAGGTTGTTTGAGTTGGTAATTTACATGAGGCAGGCTGGTGCCCTGATGATCTTGTGAAAGCCTTATGCCCTTATTTTTTTGGGCATATGCTTGTTTTGTTTGCCTTTTCTTTCCTTTGCTCTTTCACTTCAACTAAGACATATATGTGAAATTAAATAGATAATTATTCTGGTGAAACACTAAAGCAAACAAAAGGTTTTTTTTAAAAACATAAAAATAGCAGGGCTGTGATGGCAAAAGCAGGCGCATCTTTGTGAGTTTGAAGCCAGCCTGGTCTACAAAGTGAGTTCCAGGACAGACAGGGCTGTTACACAGAGAAACCCTGTCTCGAAAACAAAACAAAACAGCTGTGTACTGGTGATTCATTAGTCAGTGCTTCCATTAACCTGGAATACCAGAACCGACACCGAGGATAGAACCCAAGGCACACAAGTTGGAAAGAGCTGTACCAGATTGTCGTACCACCGTACACTCCCAACCCCATGGTGGAGTTTTTCTTCCAAATATCTCTGCACGAAATTTGGGGAGACTCCAGCTTCGGATTTTCCAGGTCGAATGAGACTACCTGTTTAGGACTTCATCTTTTCGCCCTTTACCCTCAGCAAAATCTCCAGCTGCTTTTTCCAGGCTTACAGGAAATCCCACCTCAAGCAACAAAATGCAGCCGTTAGCTCGCCCAACCCGGACACACCCCGCCCCCTACTCCTCCCCGAACCCGCCCAGTCGCTTCTGCCCATCAATGCGGCTCTAGTGGGCGGGGCCCTCTGCCTTAGGAGCGAGAGAAGGCGCACAATGGCGGCTGCAGGGTCTGAACATCTGCGTGTGGGCTTCGTGGGCGCAGGTCGCATGGCGGAGGCCATCGCCCAAGGCCTCATTCGAGCAGGTGGGGAGGCGAGGCCTGGTTGGGCGGCTTTCCAGTGGGAGTCCTTAAGCCTCGGCGGAAGGGGCGCAAATGGTTCGCCCCATTCCTGGGTGAAAACCCTACAAAAGTCTTCCATCAAGGTCTCAGGGGTCCCTGGGTGAGCCGACAGCCCTTTTCCCAGGAAGGTGGGTGGGCGAGCCAGGTGTGGTGTGGAGGAAAACACAGCTTATTGTATTTAACACTAATTGTATTGTTGAATGATATTTCTTTAAATGTAGTAAATTAAAGAAAATTACCATTAACTTCATTTGTGTGGGTTTTGCTTGTTTAGTTGGTTTTTGTTTTTCCAAGACAGGGTTTCTCTGTGTCGCCCTGGCTGTCATGCAATTCGCTTAGTAGACCAGGCTGGCCCTGAACTTAGAGATCTATCTGCCTGAGTGCAGCTATTAAAGGTGTGGGCCACCACCGGCAAGGCTCACTTTTGACTTACTTCCTTACTATGGCTGTGATTTTATCGTTCCATATGTGGCACAAACCAATTTTGTCTTAAATTGGACTGGCTTAATGCCAAGTTAGTGCCCAACTTCCTGGCCGCCTCCTCCTACACCTCTTATTGCATCATCTCTACTCTCAGAGGTGGGCAGCTGTGTGTACATATTTGGGAAGAAGGGGACTGGCTCTCTGTACTGAAGAGTGTCTGCCATCACTGGTTTGTCATCTCTTCATGCCAACAATACCTTGAGTGTGAAGGCCAAATTACAGTGCCACATGTCTGCTGCCTAGGAGCTGGAGGTGGGGTGGGGGGGGTAGGCTGAGGAGGGAGGCAAACTCCCTGACTGAGGACTGCTGTTCTATAACAGGAGCTGTCAATATGGGCCTAACTGCTATACAGTGTTTAGAAAACTTTATTTACAGACTGCAGGTAGAGAAAGTTGGTTACCTTTGGCTTTCTGCTATCAACAATACTTGAAAGTCCAGAGGGTCACGATCATTAGAGATTGGCTTCCTACAAGAAGTCTCAGGTAATTTAGAGGTAAAACCTGGCAGTTCACCTGCCTCTTGGTGTTTACCAACTGTCACTGACATGATTAGTTGCCTCTATGTTCAGGTTGCACTTTAATCTGGCCCAGGCTCTCTACCTCTTGCAAAAACATAATTTCTACCAAATGTGCACATGTATCTCCCCCAAGACATTCCAGCACATTTGCCCTGTTTCAAGAGAGTTTGTCCCATTAAGTCTTATCAGATAGGCTATTTTTTTTAAAGATTATTTTATATGTGTGAGTATTTTTGGCTGCTTGTGCAGTGTGTGTGTGTGTGTGTGTGTGTGTGTGTGTGTGTGCGCGCGTGTGTGTGCGTGCGTGTGCGTGCTTGGTGCCATTGGAGGCCAGAGAGTTGCACTGGTTCCATTGGAGGTGGATTTATGGACGGTTGTCCTGGGTTATCTGCAAGAGCAGCAAGTACTCTCCAGACCCTTCACCAGCTATTTCCCTATCCACCATGCCACTCTAGGCCTGCTGTTTCTGCAGAGATTTTTGCATTTTGGCCAATAGACATAAGTGCTCCAGTCAGTTGACCCTTCCCTGAAAACAGAGTACCTTGGGCTCTGTCTTGTCAGGATCAGGGAGGTTCATGGTCCCAGTGTCCAACAGCAGAGATGGCAGTGGCATTCAGGTAAAATTGAATTCACTTGATTGCTCAGCACCAAGGACAAGCATCCCCACTATGACCCTATGGAGCCTTATGCTAACAGTGGGCTAAGCAAGTTGTTTCCTTTCTTCCTAGACCTTACCAGATTTTGCCTTTCTATTTAGGCAAAGTGGAAGCTAAGCAAGTGCTGGCCAGTGCACCAACAGACAGGAATCTCTGTCACTTCAGGGTGAGTGGGACTTAGGGTCTTGTCCTTCTGAAGCATTTTTCAGGGGCAGGTATGGCTGAAAATTTGAGATCATTTGCTTTGTCCTGGAGAAGAAGAGGTTAAAGGCCAGGAAGAAAGTCAAGCTTCTGGAAGCTTGTGCCTATGTGAACACTAATTAGGAAGGTTCTAGAAGGTAAATCTTGGAGTCTGTGAGGAGCAGGGCCTGTTGGATTTTTCTTAATACAGGCATTTGTAAAAACAGAGACCTGAGGGAACCCATGGGATGCAGGATGATTAATGGTATACAGGTGGGTTATAGGAGGCTTCCTCACACAGCCTCATTTCTCTCCCTGGTGTCTGCAGGCTCTGGGTTGCCAGACTACTAACTCCAACCAGGAAGTGCTGCAGAACTGTTCACTTATCATCTTTGCCACCAAGCCTCAAGTCCTCCCAGATGTTCTGGCAGAAGTGGCCTCTGTAGTCACTACTGAGCACATTGTGGTATCTGTGGCTGCTGGGGTCTCTCTGAGTTCCCTGGAGGAGGTGAGTGGTCTATGGCATGAACAAGGCCTTAACTATGAAATAGGCTTTGTTGGCTATACTGAGGAGGCAGATAGCATCCCAGACAACCTCCAGGAGTAGTTAGCCAGGGTTGGATGACTGGGGTAGTGTTTGGCCACTGTGCATGAGAAGTGGGAACTAGAGGCTACGTATAGCTGAGGTGTTTGCCTAGCAGGCCCAGTCTTATAAGCTGTGTGACACTAACTAAACTCTCTTTTGTCCAGCTGCTGCCCCCAAAAACACGAGTGTTTCGAGTCTCTCCCAATCTACCTTGTATAGTCCAGGAGGGGGCCATGGTGATAGCACGGGGCCACCATGCTGGGAATGATGATGCTGAGCTCCTACAGAACTTGCTGGAGGCCTGTGGACAGTGCATAGAAGTTCCTGAGTCCTACGTAGATATCCATACTGGCCTTAGTGGCAGTGGTGTGGCCTTTGTGAGTATTGTCTTAACCCAAACCCTTGAAAGCAAGGCCTTAACTTAGCAAAGGCCTTGCTCGCAAGGTCTCACAGTCAAGCCTTGGGGACTCAAGTGGTCCATGGGCCACCAGTGAGTTCTGCGGCATCTCAGAACATCACACTTTATTGAACCATCGAGCCTGGCCAGTTTAGCTGGCCCTATAGCCCTATACATCCAGGGTCTGGTTTCTTATGGTTCTGAGCCATAAGGTTCTTATGGTTCTCAACCTTCCAAATGCTGCAACCCATAGTTCATGTTGTGGTGACTTCAACCATAAAATTATTTTTGTTGTTACTTCATAATTAATTTTGCTGCCATTATGAATTGTAATATAAATATGTTTTCTGGTGGTCTTAGGTGACCCCTGCGAAAGAGTTATTCAATTCCCAAAGGGGTCACGACCCACAGGTTCAGGGCAATCTCTAGCTGGAAGCTGTGTCCAGCAAAATGTCAGCTTTGACATTCCCCCTCCTAACTCCCAATGCTATTGCTACAGGTATGCACATTCTCGGAGGCCCTGGCTGAAGGTGCCATCAAGATGGGCATGCCCAGTGGCCTGGCCCACCGCATTGCTGCCCAGACCCTGCTGGTGAGTGAAGGATTCCTCCAGAGAATGTTGGGAAGATCTGAGTGTGTGCTGTCTCCAGCAAACAGGAAGACAAGCCTGCAAAGTCCAGACATGAAGGGGAAATATGTAGCTGCCCCACCCCTCTCAACTCTCTCTTAACTCTTCTCCCTAGGGGACTGCCAAGATGCTGCAGCAGGAAGGGAAGCACCCAGCCCAGCTTCGGACAGATGTGCTCACACCAGCTGGAACCACCATCCATGGGCTTCATGCCCTAGAGCAGGGCGGTCTTCGAGCAGCTACCATGAGTGCGGTGGAAGCAGCTACCTGCCGGGCTAAGGAACTCAGCAAGAAGTAAGCGGGGCTCCAGGGTGAGACTATAGGCTCTTTGCCCAGCTACAGTCTTTGAGTAGTGATTACAGTCCCTTGTGGGTGTTGTAGTGTGCTGCTCTCCACACTTCACGGCCATCATTTTCATCAGAGAAGCTGTGACTACTTATAAGAGACCCTTAAGATTGGGCCTGTTACCTGTGACATTCAGTGAAGGAGGCAGGGATTTGACCCTCATCTGTGATTCTAGCTCCTCCCTCTGCACCTCTCAGCCAGCTGTAATTGTATTCCAATTGCACATTGCCTCATGGCCTCAGGAGGTGGTAGACTATATAGCCCGTGGAAGACTAACTGAAGAAGGAGATGTTTCCGTCTTTGCAGATATGGGGGACATCATCATCCATGCTGGCATGAAATATTTTCATGATGTGGCTGCTCCTGTAAGCCCAATAAACTCACTTGGTTCCCCAAGTTGGACTTCGGTGGAATTTGTATTTTGGTTTGTCCTTGGTACCCTTTAAGGAGGGGTAGATGTTTATATATCCTTAGGGAGAGTATCTACAACACTGGGTAACAGCCTCCTTGCTTGCCTTTCATCTTTCCCTTGTCCCACCTCTAAGGACAATGGTTGTCTGTCCATCACACACAAATGTTTTCACTTCCTCTACACTCAGAAAAGTATCTATCTCTACAGGCCTCCTCGCCACCCCACACCCCTGCCTCCCCAGAGTAGCAATAATCCTACTTCTAAAGAGACATAATAGGCAATGTTGGTTCTCAAGTGCCTGAAAGCTGGCCTGTTTCTTTTTTGGGGGGATGGGACATGGTGGTTGGAGTCTATGACACCTGCTAGCAACAAGAGCTCCTGAGCCTGGTTTAGAGCCCTGACCCTTCTCTGAATTTCCATGGAAGTGCTCAAAAGCTAGTGGTCACACTTATTAGTGGAGGATGGCACCTGCCCAAGAAGCTCCAACCCTCTCCATGAAGCCAGAGCCTTGGCCCATAGGAGGAAAGAGTCCCCAGTAGAAGCTGAAGAACCCACCTTCCCTGAGCAGTTAGCAAGTGGCTTACCCTTCCATAATTGAGCAGGAACTGCACTAAGAGATCTCACACTGCAGACCTATGCTGTCCAATTTGCCCTTGTGCTCAGGTTATACCAGTCAAGTGGAAGAGCTGTTTGAAGTTTCAAAGGTGTGTCCTAACTAGCTCTGGAAGACTAGACCCCTGCCTCCAACTTCACTGAGGCAGGTAGACTTGAGCCTGGTACAACAACTACAGGGACTTAAAGAAAACAGGACTTAAAGAAAAGTGAGGCTATGGGATTGAGAACCAATGCTCTGAGGCTACTGCATAGGAGAAGGACTTGGTATGGCTCTGATCTCCCACCCCAGGTACCCTCTTCCCCAAAACTTTCCTGGCCACCTAGACTCCCAAGGTGCTGACTCCCTCATGTTTACCCAGCAGCCTCCTGAGACTTGAAAGCATTCATCAGTGTGGCTTGGGGCAGATCCCACAGTGGCATCTGCTAGCTTGGTGATACCAGATACCTATCTATCACGCAGGACTAATGGTATACCCAGAAAGGAAGAGGCTGTCCCCTCCCCAGTCCCTGTACTCCAACATTGCAGCCCTTTCTTCTCTCAGCTCTTTGCCTTGGATGACCCCATTTCATCCCATTTCCAGTGAGTGACTCTTCTCAGCCAAGGGCTATCTGATTGGCATTGTTACTTGTTAGAAAGGCCATCCTGAATTCAGTCCACGCCCTTATTCCCTCACTTGTTAGGATTTATAGAAGAACAGCTCACCTGTTGTGTTTATACAAAGTGCTGAGTGAGCTGACCAATGAAAATGAGAAGGCAGGCAACAGACAGCAGAGGGTTCCATCTCAGCAGCAGGCTCACTTGCCTGTGTTGTGCAGACACAAGATAATCAGCTTCCCTGGCTTCCAAGCTATGCAGAGTCTAGGTAAGATAGAGTCCCAGTGTCTGGTATAAGGCACCCTCTTATGAGAACCCCTTGGGCAGCCTACCTGCCAAGAGAATCACTGATGGTGAACCAACAGATGTTTATCTTTGGGACCAGGACTGGGAAATGGAACACACCCTTTCATTGCCAAGTCATGGTCCAGAGGGGACAGGCTGGGAAACGGGCTGTTGGCTATTCAAAGAGGCAGTTTTGGGGCCATACAGCTGTGATACTATCATCCAGGCCTCCTCCTATTATATGCTGCTCACCTAGCCACTGCTTTCTGTGATAAAAACTGGTAGATGCTCATGGTATTCTCTGTATTCAGTAAACTGTCCCACTTTTATGCCCCTCCTCCCACATCCTATGGAATGTTCCAGATCCAAGCATTAGAACCAGTCACAAAAATAAGACTAAAACAGGTGGCTGATGAGGTTAACCTGCTTCACCTTTATTATAGAAGTGCTATTAGACCATCTGGCCAGGTGAACTTAGCTGTGACAAGGTTGAGGTTCAGAGAAAGGGCCCTACAATAAGGTATGAAATCTACAAGCCCAAGATCCTACTGAGGATAGCTGACAGGGTCAAGATGCTCTTTTAGGCACATTTAGAAGAGGCTAGACTGTACCAAGTTCCAGCTGGGTGTCCCATAGGCAGTCCTAAGGAGATAGTGTGTAAAAGGCTCAGTCTTCAGACAACTAACCTTCTAGCTTGAGGTGCTCCCTCTCATACCATTTTGTTTCACCTCTAGATGTGTTGCTTTCAATTTCCAAACACGTGGACCACTGCAAGCTCCCAGCCCAAAAGCAGTTGGTGGTGGTTCCAACAGGACCCTTACTCACCCATCTTTCTGTGCTGGGTACCTTCTCCAATTTGTTTATGAATCCAGTGCAAGACCACTTAGCAGAAAAGGCTGCCTATATTTCCCAGACCAAAAATCACTACACTTTGTGGGGCACAGACAAATCTCCGGGACAAGAGACCTGGGAGTCCTTCATGATGCTTAGTACATAGCAGTTGGCAATGGCTACTGAAGAAAGGAACTACATTTTCACCCTTCTTACTAGTTCATGCAACTCAGTGACCACAGCAGTGCAACACAGATGGGTACACAATGAGAGTATAAGGCTCTCCTAATGGGCCCATGAACCCCTAGGGAGCCCCATCACACACTAAGTACAGAAAAATGAGGTGAGTGCACATCTTGGCTCAGCTACCACTGGGGCCAAAGGCCCTGTGCAACAGAATATGCAGTACTGCAAACCCCAGAGTCATAGGACCTACTGCTGGGACATATGGGCACCTGAGCAAAGCAGCCTCTTCCACAACTAGGACTCAGCCACCAGAACCTCTGTTTATAGCATGTAATGAACACCAGCATATTCTAGTCTAAAAAAAATTGTACTTTTTTTTTTTTTTTTTTAAATAGTGCTGTTGTTTGAACACAGAGCCTTTGGTATCCTAACAAACAACCTAGCATCCCTAGCCTGAGATAATACCTTTGCACGTTTTCATGGGTGTTTCCCTAGCCCAGTTAATGATAGTATACAGACACAAACCTGACAGGAACTCTCTGTGACCTACTCAACTGATCGTTTATAAGGTAGCAGCAATATGGGGCCAGAGCAACCTCCTGGACCTTGTGTCTCCAGCTAGAGAGGCTGGTGAGATGTCTCACTCCTGAACCCTAGTCTCTGCCAACTCCCGTCTACCTTAGGCCCAGGCCAAAGAGGAAGCACAATAAAAAGGACAAAGACAGAAACTAATGGAAACCTCTCTAAAAGGTAGCCTAGGCTGGAGCAGTTACTAGAGGTAATTCAGGCTTGATGTAAATCCAAAGCCTAGGCAGGTCTGCCTCTCCACAGACTTGGAAACAGGTCTATCAATGCCTGATGGCAGCTCCTAGTGTAGGTACCTGGCTGACATGGAGGCTGCTGGTACAAACACATTAGACTTCTAAAACCCTACCTAAGTTACTAGTGCTGGAGACCGTCAACAAGGTTTTTCTAGGTCTTTAGGCTTGAGGAGGCCAGGTACATAGGTGACCAGATGAGCTCCTGTGTGAACAGAGAGAGTCTGCTACCTGAGCCTCCATTCTCTTGTTTCATGTTATCCCTCAGCTCTTATATTTACTTAGAATTTTGACTGGGTGTCGTGTGGTTCCAAGAACTGTATTCTTGAACTTACATGGAGATTGTTTTTGGATACCTCACCCAAAACTCCATCCAATGCCAAGCTCTTGCATCCTTTGTCCTTCCGCACTTCCTGTTTTTAGGGCTCACACTATGAGGAGAGAAGTGAAGATAAGGGGAGAGTACTAGGACAAGGGCTCAGGATAATACTTCTGCAAAGGTAGTATTGTCCCTCCCTAAGACACAGGTGCCTCAGCTCTAGACCACCAGGAACAATCTGAGTCCAGTTGGACAGAGAGCAGGGTGATGCAGATGGGACATTCCTTTAGTCTCTCTCCTTCAACCTGGGCCATCTAGCAATAGTTCCTCACCAACACACTTGGCAATATCAGGAGGCAGATGAGCCTGGGGGTGGGGCTGCAGAGTTCCCAGATAGTTGCAAAGGCTATGACCTGTTTTCAGGTAGATCAGATAGCCCTAGAGCTAGACAAAGAGGTTTGTGGTTTGTCCTGCCTTTGGTCAAGCCACCTGGGTCCAAATCCAAACACTAGCCAACATCATGAACAGGAGATCTATCCAGAATGAAGGTTTTTTTTTTTTTTTTTTTTTTTTTTAGGACTAAAAATCCAAGTAGAACAGAATCTACTCTACTCTGCTGCATCCAAAACCCCACCAAGCACTGGGCTTCTGTTTCCCCACTTCCCAGTCTCTTGTGAATATACCACCCCAGGGACTGGGGCCTACACTGGGCTCGGATCCAGCACTACAGGGGCCTTCAGTTATCAGAGCAAGGGCAAGAGAGCACAGAGACCATCTCACTCTGCAAGTACTCATGGTTCCCTATAAAGAACATCTTTTAAAACAGGTTTAATGTATTTTTGTTTGTTTTTAAAACAAAACCAAGTGCTTCCCCACTGAGATGAGGCCAGGCAGCACCAGGGAGGTGGGTGAAACAGAAGCAGCAGCCTCATCCAGTGCACATGGGGGAAGGGGTAGGGATAAACCCCATAGGGGCCAGAATGGAGGTACAATCAACTGTTCTCCAGTAGGTGCTGTGCTTATGTGCCCACATGTGCCTATTCAGCAAAGAGCATTTGCTTCTTTGAGCCCTTTCCCCAAGATGTTGTGGATCATTGGGCAGGACATCCTTTACCAACAGAACTCCACATTGTGTTGGGAGAAAAGGTGGAAGATGGCAGACTGGATATGCCCCTCTCTCCCAGTGGGCCATGGCAGTCACACACTGTCATGAGAAGCTACTGGTGAGGGCCCAACACCCCCAAGCCTTCGTGCCATGGTAATGAGGGAACGTAGCTGCACTAGCCTCAGCGGCTCCACTTCTCTAGGATCCTGGCTCTCCAGCCACCTCAGAGCTGTCTCGAGACCCCAAACAGCTTCCCCAGCAGTAGGTACCAACATTCCTCCTTGCTCAGTGGCCTCTTCCTCCTCCTCTCCAGCCCCCATGCTAGAGGGCAGGCTGGCTGGGGATGGAGGAGCTACAGGGACCACCTCCTCTCTGCAGCCCTCAGGGAGACTTCCATCATCGTCCAGGTGCAGCCACTCTGCCACCTCTTCAGGTGCCAGGCGCTTGTAAACCAGAGTTGCCAGATGTGTGAGGTCACTGAGCATCCTGCTATGTTCAGCAGCCTCCTCTACCTGGTGGGCTGGCTGCTGCCCAGACTCAAAGGCTGCCCGAAGACCCAGTAGCCAGCAGCGCTCTATGCTGCCTGCCTGGACCAGGTCCCAAGAGAGGCCAGCCAGGTATAACATATCCTTGAGCATGAAGCTTCTCATAAAGTCCAGTGGGGAGCCACTGGCACAAGACACAGCAAGCCTCAGCAGCTCTCGTTTGTACAAATGTTTGAAGGCTGCCACCACACCATGCTCCAGTGGTGCAGGGATGTGTGCTCTGCTGTTGCCCTTGGACAAGAAAAGCACTCGAACTGCACCATCAGGTGTCTGCAGCATCTCTGGGGACCCAAAGAGCTCAGGCTGGCACTGCCTAGGAGTCTCCTCACTCTCCTCCAGAGCAGGCATCCTAGCGGCCCGGCTTGGACAAGGTGGATGGGCCACCAGCAACACTGCCTTCTGTTGTAGGCAGCTTCGTCTCAGGTAGCGCTTGACACCAGGGACGAATTCCTCAAAGAACCAGCCCTGAAGAAGAGGGCGACTGAGCCAGGCATCCGGACTGTAGCGGTAGGAGGCCGGGAACTTGTCCTGGTTGTGGTGACGCAAGCTGGGTGGGTCAGGAAGCTGCCCAATAACTAGTGGCTTCAATTTGTGGCTGCCCGTCAGGTTGGCGGCCAACAGTACTGTCACTCGGTCACCGGGCCAGCCCCGGCTGCACCCACCAGGCCCAGTGGAGTTCCCTGCGCCCTGAGTTGCTGCCTGCTCAGGAAGTAACCTCCAGTAGAGACCAGTAACGTTTGCGTTGTAGATCTGCTCGTCACCATAGCCGCCCTCGGAGTGGGGTAGAGTGGCCAGCGCATGGTCAGGTAGGAGAACTGTGCCCGGTGGCTGTGCGGGTTCTTCTTTGACAGGAGCAGGGCCTGAAACAGGTGGTTCAGCCTCGCCATAGATGCGCTGGCTGGAGATGCCGTGGCGCTTCTGCCAGCGCCAGAACCACCCGTGGCTAGCCTTGAAGGTACACTCGGGGCCATAGATCTGGCGAGCAAAGGCCTCGGCCTGTGCTTGGATAACAGGACCGGACAGCGGCACGCCGTGCTGGCGCAAGGTGAGGAACCACGAATAGACGGCGCGGTCGATCTCCTCCTCGTTGGCTAGACGCATCTTCTTGCGCTGCGTCCCCACCTCTCCACCAAGCTGGTCCAGAAACCAACGCAGCTTGGGCTCGTCCTTGAGCCAGCCGCGCAGAGTGCCGCCCGGTACGCCGAAGTCGCGGCACACGCTGGCTTGCCGCTCACCACCCTTGACGCGCTCGATGGCCTGAAGCTTGTCTTTGATGGAGTAGGCCTTGCGGAAAGTCATTTTTACTGCCACGCGGGGCCGCGACCCGGACGCGGTGGGTGGCTGGCGCGCCGTAGGACCCTGGCCGGGAGCCGGCGGTCGCGGAGGCTCGGCAAGGCGCCGGGGCGGGGAAAGACGAGCGCGATGAGGGACCGGGTGCAGGGCCGGGCCGTCCGGTGGGCTAGTGGGGTACATGGCGTCGGTGTCAGGGACCACCAGGCGAGCGAGCCTGACACCCCACGCGGGCCGCTCAGGGCGGGGCTCGGAGGCGGGGCTACCCGAGTCCCTCCCTTTTGTCTCGCCAGCCCTGCCAGCACAGGCGTACTAGTCTCGCCCCCTTCGTCTCGTGGCGCCTGCGCACGGTCTGGACTTGGGCGCATCACCTGCGCGTGCGCACACTAACTCCGTTTCGTCCAGCCCTAGTCCGACGGCTCCACTCTTCGTACTGTGGAGGGGTGTTATATGTTGGGACGTCGGGTTCTCGGCTGCTTGTGACAACTCCTCGGATAAAGCACGGTACCCGAAGTAGTTGTCCCTTGGATTCTGCCACAGTGGTTCCTGCATACATCGTGGTGCATGCTCCGCGGGTGAGGCAGCGCGTGCTTAGAGTTGTTTCCCCCGCCGGGCCTCTCGTGGTCTGTGCCGCTGCGTTTTCCGGGAGCTGCGCGGTCGATTTCCCTTTCCTTTGCAGTCCTCCCAGTTCCAGATTTTGGTTGCTGTGTCCTTGGCTGGCGTGTGAGTACAACGGGCCCCGCCTTGAGGAGCGCACGTGCGGCAATGGCTGGAGTGTTCAGGCCCTGCGCCGTTAGAGTTGGCGCCAGTGAGGGAGGGCTACGGGCGTTGGATCCTGTGTGGGGCTGGGCCGGTGGCCACATGGTTGGGAGCTTCCTGAGCGCAGTTTCAAGCTGGCCGCGTCTGCCCCGGCCATGACCGACACCCTTGGCGGGCCGGCGTTCGTCTGCCCCAGCTGTTGCCAAGGTCCTAGGTCTTTGCGGTTAAGCACCGAGGGCATTCCAAACTCAAGGCATAGAGGGAACTTACTTCGGGTGCAGCCTCATGGAAATTAGGAGGCCCACAAACACAGGGTAGAGAAAAGGCACGTGATGCCGACAGGTTCAAACGTTAATAGGGCTGATTTGAAAAAGGTGGTTCTGGACAATTTTCTTGGGAAAGGCTCATTGAAGGGTACGATCGTTCTTTTTCTAATATATGAGCGCTTTCTCTCCCGGCACCATGGTTTTCAAGAATGAAAGGCTACCTCACAGCAAAAGAACTTGTTGAAGCTTATCTTGGGGTGCAACCCTAGGGATGCTTCTGAATTGGCCCTGTCACTCAGGGATAACTAGCCCTTAATTCAGGCTTATCCTCGTGGATGAAGCAAAGGATGGATGTGACAGGACCACCAGGTTCCCCCCCCCCCCCGGGGCCAATCCCAGGGGCCTCAAGAGTGTTCTGCCTGGCTTTCTGCCCTCTCTGGAGGAAGCTGTTACAGGGCTAGTTTTCCAAACTCAGCTTTGGGTAGCTGAGGCTCCAGGGCTTACTGCAAATAAGACAAAGGTGCTTGAGAGGGTTTGATGGTCAGAAAGAATGGCTCTTGGAGGCTGAAGGCAGGACATAATGGCATTAAACATTTCTGCTGTGTGCTTGTTGAGGGTTGGAGTCAATGAGACATTTGTGTGAAGTACTGGGATATTCCTTGATCTCTAGATCCACACATCACTTAACTCAGTGGATTTGGGGGGTTATATCAATCAGCCTTAATTTTTCTTTCTGGGTTTAAGATGTCACACAACCATCCCCCCCACACACACACACACATACACACAGTGTTACCAAGTATAAAGGAAGAGCTAAGAAACCAAGAGCTGTCTAGCAAGCCCCAAGTCTTGTGTCAGGTCAGGGTACCACAGGCTGGAACAGAAATAGAAGTAACCGGCATTTGGGGCAAGGTGATTGGAGCTGCCTGGACTTAGGCAGGGCACTAGTCTTTGGGTCTCAAGGTTGGGCAAACTGCACAGGACAGTGTTTCTTAGTAAGACTGGGATATCCCAGAGGCAGAGAAGCAGGGTGGGAACTTGGAGGTATAGAATTTAACCTATGAAAAAAGACCAAATGCATCATCGCTTCAGTGTCTAGATAAACTGCAATGTGACTACCTCACTGTGTGTCTGTTGTGAGTAAAGAGCTAGCCTTTGCTCCTGGGTCCTCCATGTTCCAAATGCTGCCCCTTTGGAGACCAGACACAACGTTTCCATAGGTAGCACTGGTTCACAGATTCAGACTAGGTGAGCCCAGAATGTGTTGCTGTTGGGATGAAGGGGTGTGAGTTGGGCGTCCTGGCAGACCTCATTCCCTATCCTACTCATGAGGACAGACAATATTGGGAGCCCATCAGTGATGGAACTTATGAGGTAACATGCTATTCAGAATGTCCAGAGGACAGAGGGAAATTTTTCCTATTGTTCCCAGCACATTGAACCTTTCAGGTGTTTGCTGCTGTGGTGGGGCACACCTGTGACATACCTATTCTCATCTTCCTCAGGATCCCAAGTCAGAAGTGTTCTTGATGGGGACCATTGCCTGATCCAAAGTAGAAGATATGAAAGCCCCAGACACTTGTGTTCTTCTTTGCAGAGCAGATGCAGGTTGGCCTCAGAGGCTGCAGCTGGCCAGTAAGCTCTTTTGGTGCAAGATCCTTTTGAGTGGTGCTAGGTCTGGGTGCTAGGCTACATGGCCATATTGAACATATCTCAGGACCTAGGACCTGTCAGGCCTTTTTGCTTAACACATGAGCTGCCTGCATCCAGGACCCCCAGAGCTCAGGCATTATCCGTCTTACTTACAAAGAGCCTTGACAGCTCACCTCTGGTGGCCAGTCTTGCATTCTGGACTGCAACCTATATCCAGGAGCAGGGCAAGAGCTGCTTAGGCCACTTCTTTCTAAGTCCTTTGATGTAGCTAAGCCTGTTTCTCTGGAAGTTGGCTTTCTTTCTGGTACTTCAGTCTCTGGGATGTTTCTGCCATTGCCCAGATAAAACCTCAAGGGAAAGAAAGACCAGCACTGTTGTAGGGATGTGGGTATTGACAAACTTGTCCCTGGGGGGGGGGGGAAACAGACTTGAGAAATTCACTACTTGTTTCCGGGCTGTTTTTCTTGGACAGCTGCAGGTTTGCATATGTGTGTCCTTCAGGGAAGCAATGGAGTTCAGGTATGCCCAGTCTGAGTGCAAACTGGCTAAAGTTCTTAACCTATTGTGCACCTATGGGGAAAGCAGGTTGGGGATGACCTTGTCCCTTGGAAGTCTTAACAAACTATTGCTAATGTCTTGGGTTGACATTCCTGCCTGCTTGATCTCTATCTCTGCAGCCTAGAGGGGCACCATTTCCATAAGAGGCCCAGTACCAGTGTGCACCCAGGGCCTGGGTGCCAGCAGAACCCACAGCTTGGTACTATCTGGTCCTGGACCATTTCATTTGGTCCAAGAAGTGAGGGAGTTTCCTTATCTTCCAAAGCCTTGCCAGTGAAGGAGAGACTCTGGCTTCCACAGCTAAGGGAGCATCCATAGGTGCTAGGTCACCTTGATTGCAGATTGTTGTAGACTTAGAAAAGGACAAAGGTGGGAGCAGGCACCATCCATAGTGGCTTCTATTTGTCTCCTAGGTAATAGGAACCCTAAGAGCTACATATCAGGGGCTAAGGGAAGAGTGCTGCCTCTCAAGAATGACGACCTGAGACTAGGTGTATCTCATTTTATCCTATTGCCATGCCACCTTGACAAGCAGCTTCTGAAAGGCCACCCAGGCTGTCGGAGCTGCTGTCTGGCATGGGTGGCCTTTCCCACTGCTCTAACCTTGCTGCTTTTCCTTCATGCTGTCCTAGGAGGCCAAATCAAAAGTAAGTACACCTGCAAAGTGTCCTGTGTCTTCCTTCACCTGCTCTAAGGAGTCCCCAGCCCTTGACTGAGGGAAGCATACCTATGCAGAATTGAGCTTGCTGGGACAGGGCAGTGGTGTGGTTAGCTGTTGGCAAGTAGATACCCATGTGGCCCTCATACCAAATAGGTCAGCACATAGCCCTATGCCATATGGAGAAGTGATGGCAAACATGAAGATGTGGCCCAAGGAAATATCTAGTTTCAGCTGGCCCTGTCCCTTCTTGGGGAAGCACTGGAAGTAGCTGTTTCCTTCAGGGGGGTTTTAACCTAGTCTGTTATGGGGCCAGCTTAGTGGGTATTGCTGAAGGGAACAGAGTGGGGAGTGCGGTTAACCTAGATCTGTAGTGCTCTACAGAGTAGCCTTGTACTGAAAGCCAGGAGGTTGGAGTCAGTCGGGTCCTGCTGTGATGGCATGCACTGCCCCCTTGGTGACAGTAGGTGATGTCACAATGCTTTGCCTCCTGGGATCCTCCTCAGTCCCTCCCTACCCCTGCCCCTGCTACTTGCCTTGGTAAGTGAGGGGGTGGCTTGGAGACCTCTCTTCATCGGGCCTCTGTGGCTTCTGGTCCTGGCTCTTCATAGTGGAAAGAGCTTGGGTGGACTGCATTAAAGAACTTTAGCTCTCACTTAGAGGTAGGCTTTGGGGTATGACAGTTTTCCAAGGTCTTGAGCATAGGTGACATTTGGATAGCTTAACACTCTTCTAGTCAAGCATTTTGCTGGGTGTGTTAGGAAGAGATTCTAGACAGTGATAGGATGGTTTGCTGTCCAGCCAGGGGGTTCCCTTCCACTTCATGAGAGCCCAACAGATGGCTTGGGTGTTATTGAGTCCAGACAACAAAAATTTTGATGGGGCTACCCTTCTAGGGCAAGGCAGTACTAAGAGCATTTACCGGTGGCCTTCTGGGCTAGCTGGTAGATCCAGGAGCCTGTGTTTTCCATGATGCCACATTCAGCTTCAGGAGTGGTGGAGGCAAGTCCTCCCTTGTGGCTGTTGCTGTTTGCTTCAGAGCTACACCCTGCTGAAGGAGCAGATAATTAAAATGCAGGGCTTGAGGTAACATCATGTCCAGTAAGGAAGCTGAGGTCCCTGAGGCACTGTCCACTAATTACAATTGCGAGTGGGATATGGTATCCAGAGACTCTGAGATCCCCATGATGACTCTTTGGTTCAAATGGAATCAGAGTTGTAGGCTGGTGACCTCCTGGTGAGGAGGTGGGGACAGTTGATTAAGGATCCCTGCTGACACTGGTACTCAATCCTTGACCCATCCCCATGAGATCAGTCAGGGTCACA